GGGCGTGAGGAGGCAGAATGCCAAGACTAAGAGGACGAGCTGTACAACCTCGAGAACCCCATCAATTCCTCCGTCTTCCCCGGTCACCAGGGCGGCCCCCACAACCATACCATCACGGCCCTTTCGGTCGCGCTCAAGCAGGCCCAGACCCCCGAGTTCCGCGCCTACCAGACCCAGGTCCTCTCCAACGCAAAGGCCCTAGCCCACCGCCTCGGAGAGTCCAAGGAGAAGGGTGGCCTCGGCTACAAGCTCGTTGGCGGCGGCACGGAGAACCATCTCGTGCTGCTCGACCTCAAGCCCCAGGGCATTGACGGCAGCCGCGTCGAGCGTGTGCTGGAGCTCGTCGGCGTCGCGTCCAACAAGAACACCGTGCCTGGTGACCGCTCGGCGCTTGTACCCGGCGGCCTGCGTATCGGCACCCCGGCCATGACGACGAGGGGTTTCAGCGAGGAGGACTTTGGCCGCGTCGCTGATATCATCGACCGCGCCGTCACCATTGCTGTGCGCATCGATAAGGCGGCCAAGAAGGCGGCCGCCGAGCGCGGCGAGAAGAAGCCTGGCCTGCAGCGCATCTTCATGGCACACCTGGGCAACGGCGACTCGGACCCCGAGATTGTGCAGCTGCGGTCCGAGGTGTCCGACTGGGTCGGAACCTACCCTCTTCCCTGGGTGTCCTCGCGCGCATAGAGCGGCGGGGTGAGACATGTGTGATCGAAAGACGAATGAAATGTACTTACAACCTTGAAGATTGAGTCACTGCGTTTCTGCTTCCCGACTTCCTCCTATCACGTCTACATGGTGCTGGTGCACGATGATGCCAGAAATTACTTGTTTTTTATTTCTCTCTTTCTTGCAAATGGAGTTGCGGGCTGGCGTCTTAACTCGTTATGCTGCGTATGTACCTGTATCTACCTCGCACTAGATAGGCCACCGAATCTTCAACAGGTTTTACGCACAGCGCAGTCGGATGGTGTCTTGACACGACAGCATGCTTGGACAGGCCTGGATCAAAGGGGGAACTCCATGTCACCACTCAGTACACTAGATGGTCATGACGCACCCGGGTGCCGTGCCCTGCACACGTCGGCTCGGTCGTCTCAGGTGGAACTAATTTTGATTCGATCCTTGAATTCAATTTGAACCTCCAGATGACGGGCTATATTGTCAACTATTGCGCCTTCGAGGCATCATCCGTCTTTTTCGCACCACCATCCGTGAAAGTCTTTCCTTCGCGGTCTTCTCCTTTTGCCCCTGCCTCTGAGTTTCCCTCTGCTTTTTCCTTCCCTCTGCTTTTGCCTTCCCCCTGCTTTTGCCTTTCCCCTGTTTTTTCCTTCCCTCTGCTTTTTCCTTCCCTCTGCTTTTTCCTTCCCTCTGCCTTTTCCTTCCCTCTGCTTTTCCCTTCCCTCTGCCTTTACCTATCCCTCTACTTTTACCCCTGCATCTTCCTCTGCTGCTGATTTTGCCCCTCCTTCTGCCTTTGCCTCTGCTGCAGGTTTTGCCCCTCCTTCTGCCTTTGCCTCTGCTGCAGGTTGATCCTCTGGCTCTGGCTGTGTCGCTGTCACCGCCGCTACCGGCGGGTCAACAGCCAATACTTTCATCGTAGCCTCCCTCTCTGAAAACGCCTGATAATACTTCTTCAAGGACTTCGTACCGTTGAGGACCCCCTCGCCGAGCGTCTGCACAATATCGTGCAGGACCGGCCAGACGACAAAGTCGGCAATGGACACGACCTCGCCTGCGATGCTCTCATTCTCGGCGGCATAATCGTTCCAGACTATGAGTTCCCGTTTCAGCGGCTTGGCTGGTTGCTTCACAGTCACGTCATCTGTTTCCTGCGATCTGATAGCGCGCCACTTATCAAGGAGGGCGAGGCCCTGCTGGAAGCGTGTCAAGATACGAGCCTGGCCCTTGCTGGGCTCACTGCGCTTCCCGTGGAGGCTGTCGAGGTAGAGCAGAATGGCCATGTCTCCCTGCACCGTCGACCGGTCGGCATCATTATCCACGTACTTGATGGACAGACTCTCGAGAGCCGACGAGATGACGGCGGGAGCAGCAGCCTCAGCCTTCCCCTCCTTCCAGTCAAAGGATGGCGGCATGCGGCCCTTGGCGAAGAGAATGCCGTACTCGGCCAGTGCGAGCTGTACGCGCATATTTGACAACGGCATCGGCGGAAAGAACAAGCGTGGCGCGCTGCTCATATGCAGCACGTCAAAGCCCTGCCCGTAGTGCGCATCCCAGTCAAACTCGCTCGCGTGGTTCTCGGTTCCAAAGGCACGCAGCATGGCCACGGCCTCGGGTCCTTGCCCGTTGACGACAGGGTGGGCATCAGCGCGCGTCTTGCCCGTGGCGCCTTGGCCCCAGATCAGGGTGCCATCGCGGTCCAGGAAGGTCCCGATCTGGCGGAAGGTCAAAGAGATGCGGCCGCCGGCAAAGGCAAGCTCAGGTGCTGTCTTGTCTCGTTCGGCACGCTTGTCTTGGCGGATGGCGTGGAGCCACCGCATGTTTGTCACAAGGCCCATGCGGCAGAGGGAGTTGTGCGGCAGCTGCTTGCGCGATGTGTTGCGCTTCGCACCCTCGGGGATGTCATCCGTTTTCTTGGAGGGATCTTTCGCGTCCCGCTTGGTTCTGAAAATCATGGTTCTCTCGGCGCCTAGACTGACATTAACAATGTAAGAACCCTTGACAATATCGAGCGTCTTGTCGCTGTGCTCGGAAATGTAGTCGTTTCCGTCGCGGTAGAACTGGGATTAAGACGTGGTTGAGTGGGTGACCCAGCTTCTCCTCGACCACAGGCTTTGATCTCAAGAACAGTCTTGGTAAAAGAAAGAGCGGGGGGCGGACTCGGTCCGCGGGATGTCGGTATACAGGGCAGGCTACCATCTTCGGCAACGAAGTCCCTGGA